AGGCTGAAAAACCTGTGCTGAAATTGGAGGAGGTCTGACTGCAACAGACATACGTCTGGGTTTCATAAGGCTTTTTGTATTTGTTCCTGCAGCTGTGGTTCTTGGATTGTTTTCTTTGTAGAGGACATGGTGGAGGCATGAGATTGGTGATTTTTTGCAACAGCAACCTTAACTTTGAAGGACACAGAGGTGGCTTCTTATCTAATTTTCTCTTCTCTACTACTTGTTTCGTAGACTGAGAAGCAGCAGCTGCAAAAGCTCGTGTTTCCTGCTTTAGTCTGGTTTTTCTTCCCTCCCCTAATTGATTCTCAAGCTCTCGAACCTATTGTAAGAAAAGTTATTTGTTAGTCTACAAAATGACTTAAAATGCCATTTAAGGGACAATAAAAGCAAAAGAAAAACGAAAAAACATCTCCAATATATTTTCCACATGTTTCATAGTAATAATAAATAAATAAAAAAGCATTAAATGGAGCTCAAGCCATCAGAATTACCTTTTCTTGCAGAGTTCTGCACATACGTTCTCTAGCAGCAAGCCTCAACTGCAATGATTGCAAGCTATCCTGTAACTTCTTTGTTTCCTTCTTCTCATCATGCTTTAACTTTTCTACCTGATTATTTGTAACTGAAACGAGAAACAAAGCAAGAAAGAAAATAAGAATCAAGATAAAAGAAACTGAGACAAAAGAAATTTCTTCAAATACGAGCAGTATACACACACACACACACACACACACACACACACACACACACACACACACACACACACACACACACACACACACACCATTTGCTTGTATTTGAAAAGTTCAGAGAGAGCAGCCTGTTTGCAGGCAGGACTGGTTTCAATTCCTCGCACTTGACTCACAAAATTTAGTGAACAAAGAGTCTCTCCAAGGTCAGTAGCACTTGGACTTATTTGGACAAACATCAAGTTCTTACATACAATCTCCTCCTGCATTGATGTTTCACTTAGCATCATTTACTGACAAGCAAGACAATAAGAATGACTGGTAACCATAAAAAATAGTAAACTTAATACTCACCGAGAGAGCTCTGTAGCATATGGGTTAGCTTTGAGTTCCTGATTGGAAGAAAACAAATATCTTCATTAATATGGTAATTGGATAGCATGTTACAAGAGTGACTGTGTGAGAGAAAGACCTGAAAGGATTGTGGCTAGTTTTAGATGCGAGGGCAGATATAACATCACCAAGTGCTGAAAGAGATTTATTAATGAATTGCGATTCCTTCAATCTTTCACCTTCAACATCAATCTTTCCCACACGTTCACTGCCAGCCAAAACGACCATCCATAGGTGACTTCTTGTCTTTTGTCCATCTATTAAGTTCTCTCCTTTCACTGTTACTCGCAACAAACTACAGACCAACAATGTTGTGGTCATTAGTACTACCACTTCAATTAATCAGTATATTTCTTGAATAGTTTGGATACACAGATCCAAAAAACTATTTAGTTGCTATTATATGTGATATACCATAAAGTATATTCTTAGAAAGAATAAACCAAGAAAAGAAAGCAGAGTTCATTTTTACCAATGAGAATGGCTGCTAAAGCTCATTAGCTCTGGTTGATCCAACAGACCTGGCCCGACTTCCAGAATTGAGTAAATCCCACACATCCTCCATGCCAGTCACCCGAGTTTCAACAAGTCCTGGGACTTCTTGTGTTCCTTCAGCTGTTTGTTTTATCTCCAACCTTCATGCATGTAAGAAAACTAAAATTTCATCAAACTTCATCATGTAACTCTATTTCTTATCGTTAGACTATAAATCTTTCATACCAGTGGGCTTCCAAATAGGAGTCTTTACATAATCTTTCAAACCCTAAACCCAATTAGATGTCATGCTTATCTACACTAGAGAGGAGCAAGGTATTTATTATCATTTGCTATCGAGAAAATTGGGCTAATACAGAACTTCCACGATCCACTTTTCTTGTCAAATAGCCACACGCATGATGTTTGTACTAACAATAGTTAATTTCCCTCATCAAGTAGCAAAATGATATAAATCAGTGCTGCAGAAAATTGTTATTACAAAATTTTTGCAACCAAAAAAATTGATATAAATGACTATATTCTGATTATCAGATCAATACAGTAGCAATAAAAGAGGAAACTAACTTTTTAGGTGGTTGGTTGGAACTATCAATCAAGAGGTCCCTTATCTTCTCATTGTAAACCTCCATCATACTAACAAAAAGACCATATCTCATAATGCCACTTCTCTCTTGAGAAACTCTGAACAACTCATCCAATGTTCTGTAGTTCACTCCCCTATTTTCTGGGCTGCCCTCCATAGTAAACGTCTTTCCAGTTCCAGTTTGTCCATAGGCGAATATGCAGACATTGTAGCCATCCAAAACTGAAGCAACTATTGGTTTAGTTTGTACAAAAACAGCCTCTGCCTATCACATAGACAAAGGATTAAAAGCTTCACTTGCACACATAATCTTTAACAGGATGTCTGCAGTAGCAATACATAAAATAAAACATCAGATCACCTTGATTATCCTCAGGCCTAAAAACATGGTCCACTTAAATTGCTTTTTGGAGGAATCAGAGGAAATGATCTGCAACTCATTATCTTGGGAAGAGTCAAATTCAACTACATAGTTCGAACCATTTGTTATTTCGATTTGATTTAGTGGTCTGCATCTACAGAAGACCCTAATATTCCTTTTAAGCTCGATCACCTCATTGTAAAGCCTCTTCCTCTCAGACAACTCCTGTAGATACTTCTTTTTAAGAAGTTCATATTCATTACATGACCAATATTTCAACAAGTAAACTATCAACTACATAGCTCGAACCATTTGTTATTTCGACTTGATTTAGTGGTCTGCATCTACAGAAGACCCTAATATTCCCTTTAAGCTCGATCACCTCATTGTAAAGCCTCTTTCTCTCAGACAACTCTTGTAGATACTTCTTTTTAAGAAGTTCATATTCATTACCTGTCCAATATTTCAACTAGTAAACTATCAAAACCAAACCCCTCCAAAAAAATAAAAAATGAAAAGAAGAAATAAATTAGTTTCACTATTGGATACTCACCGAGTTTTTGAAGGGTGTCTAAAATATTGGGGCCAAGAAAGGAATCCTTGGCAGTCTTTACTTGATTAGAGAGATTTGAGTGTTCTTTCTTCAAATTCTAAAACAACAACAATTAAATTCAAAGAAAGATAACAAATCAATACCCCCATCAACATAATAATGCAAAATCCTAATTTACTAGCTAAAACAATGAAATTTAAAATTGCCTGAATTCTACAACTAAAACCAAGTCTTTTCAAGTCATCTATACGATACCCAACACCACCAAAGTTCAAAATAAGTACCTGAATTGTATCACTTAAATTGATAATTTTCTGCAAAATGGGCAGTGTTGGCCCCTGAGATGGGGAAACTTGTTGAATTCTATTAGATACGCTCTCCTCCTCCGAATTAATAGTTTCTCCTGAAAATTCATTAAAATCAAAATAACCTTTTCGAGTCAAAAGAATTTCAATATAAAATACAAATGTCTAGAGTTCTACAGCACCGAATTTGACTCAATTTAACTCTTTTTTTTCCTCTTAATTAAAAACGACTTTAAAAATTTAGAAACCCTAGAATTAAAAAGATAAATAAACAATTAAATTCAATAAAAAATAAAATAAAATAATTCACAATTACAATTTCTAAGTCTAAGCAGAAGCAAAAAAAAAAAAAACACTGATATTCAGTACTTCAACGAATAATTTCTAATACATTTTTTTTTAATAAAAACACGAACCTGTATCGAATTTCGTATCTTCTACGGATTCAACTGAAATTTTTTTTAAAAAATCAATTTCAGAGAAATATTAATTAAACAAAGTGAAGCTACTTCTTCTAACCTGTGGTCGAAGAGAGAGGAGGGCTGGAATCGGAAATTTAACGGTCTTGATACGATCGCAGATCTCTTCAATCATTTGGAACGTCAGATCTCAGAGAAATCAAAAAAATTCGATCTATAAAACAAGAACCAGAAAAATAAAATTAAATAATTCAAGAATTTATGCGTATCGATCGATACAGAAAAAGAGAGGGAATGAATTGGGCCTTTGGTTTTGGGCTATGTACTGGTGTGGTCTGATTGGTAGTTAATCGAGCGCATTTAGAATTATTTTTTTTTTATTTTGATTTGTTTTTTTATTAATACTTTAATTAATTATAAATTACTCCCAGGTCTTCTAAATATTATTAGTTTATAATTTTATGATACCCTTTAGGCTGAATTATTTTTTTTAATATAATAAAAAATATTTAAATTATAAAAAATTATTTAATATTTTTATTAAACTCAATTTATTGAATTAAATTTAAATTTTATTGATTCGACCTTTTATTTATCTCAGGTTTAAAATTAAAATTTAAAGGTATTTTTATAAAAAAAAAGCCTAAGAAAAAAATTCAAAAAAAAAATTGCTAAAAAAAAATCTTTTAACCTAACTACTTATTTAGCTTTGATTTAAAAATAAGCAGAAGTTGTTTCGGTCAATTTAAAAACAACTTAGTGTTCGGTTAAAAAAATCTGAAAATGAAATTAATAAAATAAAAAAACCTTTTAACATGGCTCCTTCCTTATATCAAGCCCGTCTGCGAGCGTTTCTCCTTTTGGTCTTTGCCTTGTTATCAATTCCAGCAGCATGATACCGAAGCTATGTACGTCTCCTCTAACTGATACTTAATTACTCTATCCATATTCTGTTTACAAGCAACAAAGCACTGTTAGCAAAATGAAAAAAGAAAATAATCATTTTGGTCAAATGATCTTAATGCACTGCATGGTGAATGAAAATTCCAAACAAGTTTACAACACCCGACTTAATTTATCAAACTCGCAATTTACGTTAGAAAATCAAGATAACCTATAAAAATTAAATAAAAAAAAATACAAATTTCAATCACCAACCAACCTAATATTGAAGGATAAGATTAAAATAAAACCAATTAAAAAAAAACCAACATGAATCAATCAGCCAGACCCATGACTTGGGCCATTAAATTGAGATAACATTATAAAAAACCTATGATCTTGATTGTGATACCAAAATATCCCCATAGACAGCAAATCAAAATAAAATATGAAACTCAATTTCCAACCGATTCAATGTTAAATGATAAAATTAAAAAAAAAAAAAATAAACACAAAAAAACTATTAGTCAACTTGGGTTAACTTTTTAAACACGATTCTCCGGTCATAAGGCAAGAATAACACAATAGAAAATAAACAAAACAGATCATGAAGTCTAATTTCCTATCAAATCAATATTAAAAAATGAAATTGAAGAAAAATTTGAGCTAACTAGGTTAACTCGTCAAGCTAGCAATCCATGTCATGAGAGTGAAATAACTCAATAAAAACAAATATAGTATTAAAAAAAAATTGATTGAAAAAAAAAACATAGAAAAAAAGAAGCAAATCATAATTCCAATGAATGGTGCTTTGTGACTAGGGGTATAGTAAAAACCTCTCCTGTTTTAGTTTATAGTTAATACTAGATAATTGTCCACGCAACACTTCTAGTCAAATTAAAATTAGAAATTCAATTCTCAATCAACCTAATATTAAAAAAAAATTATATAAAAACAATTAATAAAAAAAACATGAAAAAACCACTCAATTCAACCCAAGTTTACAAATCAAACCCGTGACTCGAGTTATGAGGTCAAGATATCTTCATAGAAAGAAAATCAAAATGAATTATGAAGTCTAATTCTCAATTAACCCAATATTAATAGAGGAAAATGAAAAACAAATGCATTTAAAAAGAACACAAAAAAATTTGAGGCAAATGAGCTAACCATCGACCCGGGTCATGAGATCATGGTAAAAAAAATTACAAAGCACAATTTCAAATCAACCCAATGTTGAAGGATTCAATTGGAAAAAAAATCAATTAAAAAAATATCTTGGGTCAACTTGGGTTAACATAATAAACTCGAATCATGAGATCAGGATAAATCTATAGATTAAAATAAAATAAAAATATGAAGTTAAACTCTCAATCAATCCAATGTTGAGGGATGAAAATAAAAAAAAACAAAATAAAAAAGACCAAAAAAAACTTGAACCAACCTTGCTAACTCGTAAAACTTGTAGCCTAAATCTTAAGATCACGATAAATTCATAGAAAACAAAAAAAAAAAATATGAAACCAAATTTTCAATTAACTTAATATTGAATTTTTTTTATTAAAAAACAAAAAAAAACCTGAGTTAACCTACGAAACCAATTGTTTTTTTTTATCAAGACCTTAGAGCCATGCATCCCTTAAAATGATGTCATTTATACCATAAATTTTAATGGTTGGGTTAATTGGTAATATGTGATAGATGGGATCCCATTGATAATTATTATTTTGTTTTGTTCGGGGACCTAGTTAAGAATCATGCTGAAGTAGGAGGATAAATATATCACTTTCATCTCTAATACATAATACTATCTGATTTCATTTTAATTGAGTTGTTTCATAAGTATTTGTATAGAAAAAGAAGAGGAGAGGACGAGTTACCAATGTCACAAGTTTGTCCATTTTAGCGTATGGTTGCTCCTACTTTTACAGTGGATGGATTCCACACTGAACCACCACATCAGTAGCTCCGCACAGTGGTTTGAAATGGAACGAGGCCTCCTTGAAAAAGCACTTACAGTGGACACTCCAAATGAACACATGCTCCCTTTTCCATATAGTACTACTACTCGCCATTCTTTCATATTCTCTGTAGTAGTAGGAACTGAGATCAATCTGGGTTCCATCTTTGAATATCAAATGGCATTCACATTCAATATTAACCTGACGCCTTTCCCCGCTTTGGCCAAATGAAACAACAGCGCAGAAAGTGAAACCACGATAACAATGAGCTGGTTGCTGGATTTTTACTGAAGATCCTTCTCTATTTTTATAACTAAAACACTCCGGGACTTCTGACCCAGGAATACACAACCGAACTCTAATGTTCTGACGATGATATCTCTGCACCGAAGAGAGTGAGAATGTGAGATACATATAAAAAATTATCGTGATTTTTTTCTTTAAATAAATCAAGATCGAGGGAGGAATTCACCTGATTAAACAACGATGTTGCCATGCGTTGAATTCGTAAAAGGGCATCTCCCATAATTCTAGTGCGTGAATTCTGATCCAGTTGGAGGCATCCAGAGAAATTGAATTCGTGAGAAGCATCTTCATATTCTCTATCACCTTGCATGGATATACTTGCTACATATTTTAGAGAGAAGCAGCCTGATGCGATTAAAACTTGTAGAGTTGATGGAAGCTCTGGTAAACATTGAAGCCGCTTGCACTCATCTAAGAAGAGTTCACGTAGCTTAGTAAGGTGCTTGATGCTTGCAGGTATCCTCTCAAAATCAATCTGAGATAATCTCAACTCTGTTAGAGACACCAAAGAGCCTAAGCTCTCTGGAGTTTTTAACACATGAGAATTTCCCAAATTTAAAAATTCATGGCAGCCCAATTTATAGGTGGATGATGCAATTTCTTCTCCTTTTTGGAATCCTCTCAGCGTATAACAAGGTTGTTTGTCAAGTCCTCTAAATTCAAGATCAATAAAGTTATCTCGAAGGCTCGCTAGTTTTAAGCAACCACTGAGAGTGAGCGCAGTAAGATGTTTCACCTCGCCAATGCTGTCGGGTAGACTTTTTAGTCCTGAGCAACCATAAAGATCAAGCCACGTAAGAGATGTCAACCTGCCAATGCTGTCCGGTAGGCTTGCTAGTCCTGAGCAACCAGGAAGACTAAGCGATTCAAGAGATTTCAACGCGCCAATGTCGTCTGGTAAACTTGCTAGTTCTGAGAAACCTCCAAGATAAAGCGATTTTAAAGATTTCAAGGCACCAATGTTGTCCAGTAGACTTGCTAATCCTGGGCAACCATAAAGACTAAGCGATATGAGAGATTTCACCGCACCCATGCTGTTCGGTAAACTTTCTAGTCGTGGGAAACCACTAAGATAAAGCGATTGGAGAGATTCCAACTCGCCAATGTTGTCCGGTAGACTTGCTAGTCCTGAGCAACCAACAAGCCTAAGTGATTTGAGAGATTTCAACACGCCAATGCTGTCTGGTAGACTTGCTAGTCGTGAGAAACCACTAAGATGAAGAAATTGGAGAGATTCCAACTCGCCAATGCTGTCCGGTAGACTTGATGGTCCTGAGCAACCAGAAAGTACAAGTGATTCAAGAGATTTCATCGCGCCAATGTTGTCCGGTAGACTTGTTAGTCCTGAGCAACCAGAAAGTTCAAGCCATTTGAGAGATTTCAATGTGCCAATGGTGTCCGGTAGACTTGCTAGTCCTGAGCAACCATTAAGTTCGAGCCGTTTAAGAGATTTCAACTCGCCAATTCTGTCCGGTAGACTTGCTAGTCCTGAGCAACCATTAAGATACAGCTGTTTAAGAGATTTCAACTCGCCAATGCTGTCTGGTAGACTTGCTAGTCCTGAGCAACCACTAAGTTCGAGCCGTTCAAGAGATTTCAACTCGCCAATTCTGTCCGGTAGACTTGCTAGTCCTGAGCAACCATTAAGATACAGCTGTTCAAGAGATTTCAACTCGCCAATGTTGTCCGGTAGACTTGCTAGTCCTAAGCAATCACTAAGATCAAGCTCTTCAAGAGATTTCAACTCGCCAATTCTGTTTTGTAGACTTGCTAGTCCTGAGCAACCATGAAGTGTAAGCAATTTAAGAGATTTCAACGAGCCAATGTTGTCTGGTAGACTTGCTAGTCCTGAGTAACCACTAAAATGAAGTTTTTCAAGAGATTTCAACGCACCAATACTGTCTGGTAGACTTGTTAGTCTTAAGCAACCACTAGGATTAAGTGATTCAAGAGATTCCAACTTGTCAATGCTGTCTTGTAGACTTGATACTCTTAAATAAAGCCATTTGAGAGATTTCAACCCGCCAATGCTGTCCGGTAGACTTGCTAGTCCCGAGCAACCATTAAGAGCAAACCATTCAAGAGATTTCAATCCACCAATGCTGTCTGGTAGACTTGCTAGTCCAAAGCAACCACTAAGATCAAGCCCTTCAAGAGATCTCAGCTCGCCAATGCTGTCGGGTAGACTTGCTAGTCCTGAGCAAGAAGAAACATGAAGCTCTACAAGAGATCTCAGCTCCCCAATGCTGTCAGGTAGACTAGCTAGTTTTGAGCAAGAAGAAAGACTAAGCTTTACAAGAGATCTCAGCTCCCCAATGTTGTCAGGTAGACTTGCTAGTTTTGGCTGACGACCAAGATTAAGCTTAGTAAGACATTTCAACTTGCAAATGCTATTTGGAAGACTTGCTAGTTTTGAGCAAGAATAAAGATCAAGCTCTACAAGAGATTTTAACTCATCAATGTTGTCAGGTAGACTAGCAAGACTTTCACATGAAGATAAGTTTAATCTAACAAGTTGAGAGAGGCACCCAATTGATGATGGCAAAGTACAGAAACTCTCGAGTCTGGGAAGCTCTAATGTGGTAAGTCTGGTGCTGTATTTAACCGAGGAAGGTATACCTGGATGTAGAACCTCAAGGTGTGGGACTTTAGACAGGTCTGAATCAATTAAGCTCGGCTTTGAGGAAGGGTGATAAAAAAAAAAAAGTAATGTAAGAAAAGATAAATGTTATGAATAATTTCAAAAATGTCCTCTATTTGAAAAAGAAGGGTGATAAAGCATATATACCTGGTATTCATTCCAAAGTTGTTCAAGCTGGCTACAAGGCATTTCAAGTTGAAAAGCTTTCTTAGGGGAAAAATTTGATGGCATGGATTTCAAAGGGTAATTATACCAGTAGAGAAACCTTAGCTCACTTGAAAGAAAGTGAAGCCCTCCTGGAAGGTGGATTCCGACCCTCTTTCCGTTCATAATTTGCTCCTTTGAGGGATCCGGTGGGTAGTAGATTTTGAGCAATCTTAAATTATACATCCCTTCAAATGCTGTAGGACTTAAGATCATTTCTTTAGTAATTGCAAGCAAGTTGAGGGAAATGCTTTCCACTTTTGATCCAGTCCCCTATTTAAC